AAATTCGAGATCGATGACTCAGCATGTGGGTCATGATATTTTTTTGAGAATAGTTTTGTTACAGGACGTCTCGAATACGTTAATTATTTATAGAACGAATCTTCTAAAGAGAGAGAAAAGTAATTGGAAGTTACATTTTGTTGCTAATTATAATGTACTGATGGTTTTCTTACTTTTTTTTCTGTTTTACATTTCTTTCTTTTACATTACCTATTTAATTTTTAACTTACACAAAGAATATTACATGCGAGCCAAAACACTGTGGTCTTTTTTATAATTTTTTTATTATACAATTTTGCTCATTGATGAAGATCCAAACGAAGGTATTGAAACGTTCGTAATTGTTTTTGTTTTATTAAATAATAAGGAACTTACTCACACAAACATCTTGTGTTTTGGCTCGCATGTTTTAAGCATCCTGTTTTATCATCTCACGAGCTCATTCAATTAATCTAACGTTAAAATTTTGATCATTTATTATCTCTTTATTTATTTATTTACGGAAAATATCATATAAAAAAATTTTATTCTTCTTTTTAATATTACAATATTTGAATATTCTTTGTGTAAGAACGACAGCCCGATGCATGCTTATTCGCGGATCTTTGTTAATTAAAATCTCAGTAACTATTGCAAATCTAGCAAAATGGTATAGGACTTTTCGACTCAGTTTTATTCCTTCTACCTGCCTACGAGAGATTGTACGGCAATTCTGGGACACCCTGTATATATATCTTTTTATGCAAGAAGAGTGCAATAGCAAGATTTTCTTTGTCGCCTTTGGTTTGTTTTTGCAAATTGAAGTGTATTGAAAAGACAGTTGAACGTTCATGTAATTATTAGAATTATTTATGTTTTAAGAAAGTAATTTGATGACTATTTTTACTATAGGTGGCAGATCTGGCAAACGAAGATACGCCTCAATTGTACATCGCCTGCGGTCGTGGTCCGCGATCTACTTTGCGAGTATTGCGCCATGGTCTCGAAGTATCCGAGATGGCTGTAAGCGAACTTCCTGGCAATCCAAACGCTGTATGGACTGTGAAAAGGAGAGTCGATGGTTAGTCAAAAAGTATTTCTACTATCGAGTGTTTTGCATGCTTCTATTTGAATCTTGCTTAAGAATTGATAAGGTTAGGTTAGATTAGATTAGATTAGGTTAAGTTTTAGCTAGAATATTATTTTTGTTGAAGAATTTATTTTCAACATGTTTTGTCTCTTTATCATATACAGCTTTTTCTGATATTCTGTGGTATGTAAACTGATACAAGAATCCTATTATCCTATATATTTTATTTTTTTCTTTCTCTTTTGCGGAAGAAATCTTGAAAGATGCTCACTAATAAAGTTGAGCACTAAACTTTGTGGTAAGAGCACTAATACTTAATAATCTTTGCTTAAAAAAAAAGAAGAAATAGCATCGGTTTTGTAAAACAATATATTAATGAATCTGGTGGCTTGATACACTCTTATCAAACACCAGTTCTCTCTTTCAGGCTGCCTGAACGCTATTGGTTGACCCACAGAACTCTGAATGACCAAAAGGTAAGAACTTCGGCGCGAAATTGGCACGAATAAGAGTAGATTCTCTCATTTGACAAAAAGAAAAAAAATATTTGTCATCTCTTACCGTGCCTGTGTGCCTACATGCAGTCTCAAATAGTCTCAGGAAGACGCCTCGAATACAAGTTTTATAAATCTTTTAATTATGTGCAAGTTCACAAACTGTACAATTCGATTTGTACAATCGACGCATTTCTCGTACTTACTGAGGATGAGCTTTATAATTTTGATTGCAGAGGAGTATGATGCATACATCATAGTGTCCTTCGTGAATGCCACGCTTGTACTCAGTATTGGGGAAACTGTCGAAGAAGTGACGGACTCGGGTTTTCTCGGTACGACCCCGACCTTAAGTTGTTCCGCCTTAGGTGAAGACGCATTGGTGCAGGTACACACAGAAGTTGTATCACATTTTGATATGATTCTATGTATGAATCATATGAATTATATAGTATATGATTTATTATAGTATTAAATTTGAGAAGAATAATATTTAAATATTGTTAGAGCAACTCAATAGAAAGATTTTTGTAAAATAGTTATATGATGCGCGCGTGTTATTGGCATTATTTAGACATGAATAGTAAAAAAATTAAAACCTTAATTAATTAATTTGTTTGTTTTTGTATTTATCGGTTTAATATTAAAGAACTGTTTTCAATGCACTTGGTATCTCCGGTACCTGGTCAACCGCGTATCGGTCGCAAAAGTAGTGCTAAAACATTTTGGGTTCATGCATCGTTGGAAAGTTCTTGGTCTCATCTAAACTTTCCTGGTATTACAGACCAGACATACACTTTCTAATTTAAATTTACATAATTTTGTCAAATACTTCGAAATATTAAATCGGCTTAAATTTCGATTAACTTTTAGGTATATCCCGACGGTATACGTCACATCAGAGCGGATAAACGCGTCAACGAATGGAAGGCGCCTGGCAAGAAGACAATCGTGAAGTGTGCGGTAAATCAACGTCAAGTGGTGATTGCTCTCACTGGCGGAGAACTCGTTTACTTTGAAATGGATCCTGTACGTATACGCGCTAGTTTACTTGGTTTTCTGTTAGTCATAACTAAAACCGCATTATTTGTTCTCTTTGAGAGATTCAATTATTCTCAGAGATGTAATGAATGCGAACAATAAACCACTTATTTCATCTTACGACTGTACAGTTCTCTTTGCTAAGTCTATTGGTTTGGTATATGAGATTGATGAAGTGAACACATAAATTTATTCAACAAAAAGCACTAACTCATTCTGGTTTTAGACTGGCCAATTGAACGAATACACGGAAAGGAAAAAGATGCCATCGGAAGTAATGTGTATGGCACTCGGAAACGTTGCCATTGGCGAACAACGTTCGTGGTTCTTGGCTGTCGGCTTGCAAGATAATACAGTGAGAATAATATCATTGGATCCGTCGGACTGTCTAGCACCAAGAAGTATGCAGTCACTACCGGCAGCCGCGGAAAGTTTGTGTATCGTGGAAATGGGTGCTAAAGAGACCGATAATTCCGAAGACTCGGCACCGCAACAATCTAGTTTATATCTGAACATAGGTAACATACACGCATACACACTTTCAAATGGATTCTGTCTGAACAAAAAAATCTTCAAATTCTGTATGAACATAATCTTTGATTTCAGGTTTGCAAAATGGTGTGTTGCTCAGAATGGTATTAGATCCAATTTCAGGCGATCTCACAGACACGAGAACTCGCTATCTAGGGTCACGCCCGGTAAAGCTCTTTAGGATACGAATGCAAGGCAATCAAGCAGTATTGGCAATGAGCAGCCGATCGTGGTTAAGCTATTATCATCAGAATCGTTTTCACCTGACTCCTCTATCCTACGAGAGTTTGGAGTTTGCCTCGGGCTTTAGCTCAGAACAATGTCCTGAAGGTATCGTTGCGATCTCAACAAATACACTAAGGATCTTAGCGTTGGAGAAACTCGGAGCAGTGTTTAATCAAGTGAGCTTTCCGTTGGAGTACACACCGCGGAAGTTCGCGATACACAACGATTCCGCACATCTAATGATTATCGAGACCGAGCATAACGCGTATACAGATGATACGAAACAGCAAAGACGACTGCAGATGGCAGAAGAGATGCAGGAGGCTGCTGGAGCTGAAGAAGCTGCTGTCGCTCGCGAATTGGCGGAAGCGTTTCTATCAGAAGAACCGAATGAAGCGGTTTTTGGCGCTCCACGAGCCGGTCCGGGTCTGTGGGCTTCCATGTTGAGAATAATGGCGCCGACTACTGGCAAGACGTTCGAAGTACACCGCTTCGAACAAAATTTGGCTGCATTGTGGTAAGGAAAAAATTTATAAATATCAAAACTTCAATATATTTAATATTAAAAAAACTATATTATATTTATATATTATATATTATAATATATATTATAAAATAAATATACATAAACTTTTTCTTTCATAGTCTTTGTCTCGTCAAGTTTACTAATCAAGGAGATCAGCTATTTCTTATTGTTGGAGTGGCTAAGGAGTTCCAACTGAATCCTCGAGTCAGCAACGGTGGATTTCTTTACACATACAAGTAAGATATCTCGCTTTATTAAATAATTATATATATATAGTTTTAACAATATATTGTTATGTTGTAAGAGAGAAACAACTGTTTGAATTTGTGCGTGCGTGCGTGCGTGCGTGCGTGCGTGCGTGCGTGCGTGCGTGCGTGCGTGCG